TTAGTTGCTAAAACTTTCCTTCCGAGGACCCTGCCTTAACCCATGCGTCCTTACTGAAAGCTAGTTGTTGCTTCCCTTAAAAGGTGGCACTGCTGTTGTCTGCGAAGGCCTTTGCCTGTTGAGAGAACTCTGAACCAGTAGTGGGTCTTGTCAGCGAAAGCCTGGGATCTAAATGAGGATAATGCAGAAAAAGATACATGCTCGGAGTTAAGAGTTTTGCCTTTTGGTTTCGGTCATCTCAGCCATGTTTTTATGCTATTTCATTCTGCCATTATGGATATACAGTGTTAGTAATCATATTGGAATTCTCTCCAAGTTCTGATTTGCATGTTTTTCTTTTCCCAAGCCGCTTCAGAAGAAGATGATGAAGTTGTGCTCATGATCAAAGAACTGCTGGATACAAGAATCAGGTAAACGGGGAACTTTACTGCTAGGTGGAGTGAGTTAGTCTTGGGGTTTGGATTTATTTAGGGAACAGTGAATTTTTCTTTGGGTATGTGTGATTTCACGGTTCAGTCTCTAGTGTGGGGTTTTAAAGTGCAAAACTGGCCAGAGCTGAGAACGCTGTTTCCCCTAACTGAAATCTTTCTATCTAGTTTTCCTGTTTCAGCAAACTGCCGAACAGAGTCCTTACTGCTGAGTGATTTTTAGAGCAGTCTTACCCTCCATAGTGCATTTAAACAGGCCCGCTGGGTTTAACCTGGTTATTTTTAAATAGTGAAAACAACACAATCTTTGCTTTCACAGTAACTTTTTTTCCTCTCTTGTATTCATCTCTGTCTTAATTGTACCTGTCCTTCCCTTCCAAGTATTCCGAAGTAGTTTATGCTCTTGTATCCTACTCTGAAGGGAAATGCACTGTGGGTTTCCCTGGCTGGCTGGGCTTCAGCGGACTTTTGTCCTTGCATTCTGTTGAAATTTTACTGGTATTTTAACACAGCTTGAATTTAGAAACTGGTGGTAACTAATGAAGTCTCAAGAGTGGCTACGGATCATGTTGTTTACTGAAGTATATTTTTATGCTCATTAATCGCCTTCCAAGGCGAACCAAAAGGAATAAGCAACTTGACATTTTAGATGCAGAGGAGAATGCCTGATGTGTTTCTAAAGCTGTGATATCTGATGGCGACATCTTCCCCAGCTCACAAATTACAGGAACCAGAAACTCCTATGTGGGTCAAAAACACGGAATTCAGTTTAATTTTTTCAGAAGTTGGGACTTTTTTTTATTTCATTTTTTTTTAGATGCTGCATTTTAAAAGTGATATTTAAAAATACCGTTTTGGTTATCTCGCAGCTGACACTTGGTACTGGTTAATTTTCCTGAAAGGAAAGAGGGAGAAAAGCAGAAATAAGCTGGAAGATTTTTCGCAAGCATGTGTACTAAGTGTTGTAACACGTAACCCAAGTACACTGTCGTATGAAGCCATGATAGAAGATAATGTGCAGGGTATGCGGCCGTTTAAGCTCCCTATGGAATGGTAGTCCTTGATTTCCCAGGGGCCTTTTGTGACAATCACAGAATTTCTGCCCAAATTTCTGGGTTTCCCCACCTTTTTCTTTTTTTCATTTCCTTTCCCCGTACCCCTTGGTGGACCACGAAGCTGTTGATGAGAATATTAGCGGTAGTGTAGCTTGCTTCAGTGTATAGCAGCATAGTTTACAGAAGCTATATATAAACCAGTGGTACATACAGAGCGTTTATTGTTTAGTTGACCAAAAACGTGTGCAAAGAAGTTGTCAGACGGTGCAGGATGGAAGGAGTGGAGATGTGAAAGGTCCTGTAGTGAGTTAAAAAAAGTTAATTTCAACTAAAAAAAATGGAATTTTTAGTCGTGTTCTTTGGCTTTCTGGAATGGAGATAATTTGCTATGGCGAGTTGTTAATAAATGTGTCGGATTCATAGATTATTCTCTTAGGAGTGTAGTTCTCCAAAGAGTTATTTTGGAAATCGGCATAAAGAGCTTCTGTTCGAGTAACTTGATGGTTTTAGCTGGGTCTGGAAAAACGTTGCTATGGGGATACAGTTATAATGCTGGGCATTTGTTGCTTGCAAACGGAGACCGGCCTGCAGAAATGCTAATAGTACTGGGATGGGATCTTATCAGATGCTGGTTTCTTCACCCGTTAGCAGAATTAAGCTTTTATATAGTTGGACCTTTTTTTTGGTCCCATGTAAACTATGGTGAATAGTGCCCTCAGCACAAGGAGGACATGGAGCTGTTGGAGCGGGGCCAGAGGAGGGCTACTAAAATGCTCCGAGGGCTGGAGCCCCTCTGCTCTGAGGCCAGGCTGGGAGAGTTGGGGGTGTTCAGCCTGGAGAAGAGAAGGCTGCGGGCAGAGCTGAGTGCGGCTGGTCAGGGCTTCAAGGGGGCCCAGAGGAAAGGGGGGGACAAGCTTTTTAGTAGGGCCAGCTGGGACAGGACAAGGGGGGATGGCTTTAAACTAAACCAGGGTAGGTTTAGACTGGATGTAAGGAAGAAATTCTTTGCAGTGAGGGTGGTGAAAGCCTGGCAGGGGTTGCCCCGAGAGGGGGTGGAGGCCCCATCCCTGGGACCATTCCAGGCCAGGTTGGCCGGGGCTGTGAGCAACCTGATGTGGTTCAAGGTGTCCCTGCTCCTGCAGGGGGTTGGGCTGGGTGACCTCTGGGGGTCCCTTCCCACCCAAAACGTTCCGTGATTCTATGAATGGTGTATTTATGTATGGAAGCACTTAAGGACAACTTATCACTGTCCCTAGCCAGGTAGCAGAGGCACATGCATCGTGTGGTAGGACACACCCCCGTTATATTTGGCACATAACTGAGGCAGTCATTGTTAGGTATGGGGAGGGCCTTGAGGCAAACCAGTATGTCTTTGCAGGCTGAATCAAGCTCTACTCTAATTAGGTGCTTACCCTCGCCCCTAGAATTTCAACGATTCCTTTATATGCCGCTGCTTTTATTGCAAATATGTTTTACATAATGTCCTATGGAAAAACAGTAGCCCTCAATGTGAGAGAGTCCAGCAAAGCATGAGCTGTTGGAAATTTGGACCAGGTGTTTGCAGAGAAAGAGGGCTTTAGTTACTGTATCTCGACAGTTCTTTGCCTGTATTAAATGGAGCTTTACTGAAGAATTCTGGCAGGAAACCTATTTGAGCTATACTTGCTTTAAATTGAGTATCGTGTTCCATCAGGCCGACAGTGCAAGAAGATGGCGGTGATGTTATTTATAAAGGCTTTGAGGATGGGATTGTGCAGCTGAAGTTGCAGGGTTCGTGCACCAGCTGTCCCAGTTCCATCATCACCCTGAAGAATGGGATACAGAACATGCTCCAGTTCTACATCCCTGAAGTAGAAGGCGTGGAACAGGTGGGTTGGTGAGAGGTAATGGCCGTTTCAAATGGAAAAGAAGGTCTTTGTCCCTTTCCAGCCTGGACAGGTTGGCAGCATAAGCAAAAGCATGGGATATATAGATGCAATATTTCCCATTTTTCCAAGTCAGAAGCTGTATCTTAGCAAAAGATCCAGAGCTCTGCAAAGTCCTGCACAGCCCCATGTGCCAAAATGTGCCGGGGACTGGCTGACTGGAAAGCAGCTTTGCAAGAAAAGGAGCCGAGGTCTTGGTGGATGCTGAGTTGAACGTGAGCCAGCAATGTGCCTTCATGGCAAAGGTGGCTGATGATACCCCGGGCTGTGTTAAGGGCAGTGTTGCCAGCATGCTGAGGGAGCTGATCCCTCCTTGGACCCTCTCCAATCCGCCCACGTCCCTCTTCTGCTGAGGAGCCCAGAACTGGATGCTCTGGTTGCTGGTGATTGTGGCCTTAGTGCTTTGGTGACTCTGTGATAACAAGGGACAAGCTTTTGTCCCCTAAAATGCAGATTCTTTTGCTTTCTCCTTAAAAATCTGATACACTGTAGTGCTTGTTTTAGTGGCCTTTGTAATACCTTGACCAACTCCTATTATTTCGGCCATGTTTCCTCCTGGCATTTTTTGATAGCAAGCTTTTCACACCTCCTTCATGTGACCATTGTCATTCAGCAGTGCAGGGTGGCTGCTGTTCTCCTTGAGTCTAGTAAGGATTTAATGTAATGAATTCTCTATGCCGTCCTACGGGACTGAGAGTTTAAACTATTTGCCTAAGCTACTTCTGGATTTGATTTCAGGTTGTTGACGACGATGACGACATGGAGAAAGAAGCAAATTCTACTTGAGCTAGCATCACCTGTGGCCAAATAAGCATTTACCTCTTGGTGTACGTAAACTCCTTTTGTGCTGAAGAACAACCAAATCTGCCTTTCTTTTCAGAAGAATAGTTGCACTTATATCTGTGAGAATGTATCATCAGTTTGTCCACTAATTTATTAAATGCCCTGCATTCAAAAAAGAATCCTTTTTCTCTACTTTGTGCTATGTCCTAAGAAAGAAATGGTGGGCTTTAAAAATGGTGATGCATCTCTCCGTTGTTCTTTCATACAAAAAAAATCAAGACTGAAAAAAAGAGAAGGCAGAGGTAAAGTTTCTTGGCTGTTTTTTGTGCAACAGAAATGCTAAATGTTTATTCCCCCAAACCTCCTCATGGGGCTTGCAGGACTGTCTGCCCTTGCTCTATAATTGAGAAATTCAGGAATGTTCATTTTTATCAAATTCTGTTGAAAAGCTTTTGATTCCCATCAGGTTTTTTGTGTGAAAAATAACCCATAACTTCAGCTGTTCATTTTAAGAGGATGTAATATTGCCATCGCTTGTGGAAAGTTACCTTCTTGCCACTAGCACTGTGCAAACGATAGTAACAGAGACAAAAACCGTGAGTTGTTTGTTATAAAAGTCATGGCTTTTAAAATAAATGTTAGAAGAAGATGATCCTTATCAGCATTAGTAAGCAGAGAGACTAATTAGCTTATTTAGAAGTAAAATTGTTCAGCCACCGTTAGTGGTCTGTTTAAACTTGCAGAAGGTGATTCCTCGACATAATGCTCCAACATCAAGATGAATGTGCGGTGCTTAAGGGCACAAATTACATTTGTAGGATAGCAAAGAAAATGAATGTGTTCACCTGTGCCCCATCCCGTCTGTTCCTTCTGCGGCGCCGAGGAGCGCAGCGCCTGTGTGACTTGGCTGCCCTGGCTGGGCAAGGGAAGACGTGGCGGAGCAGAACACGTTCCATGAAATGGAACTGCGTAAATCAGGCTCTGCAAGTATTTCTGTTTACTTGTGCACATAGGACTTAAATTTCTTCCTGGTGCCTGGTTAGCAGATGGCTTTGCTAACAGAAATACTATTTCTTCTTTGCGCTGCCACAATCGAGCTGAGTTAGTGGTCATTATTCGGCTTATGGTTATAGTAGCACTCCCTGCGTGCGAGGGCTTGACAGCCTCCGCTACGTTTCCCCTCTTTCACTCCTTGCCAGTGTAAATCCACCGAGTCCCTCAATGGGATCAATTAAGTCAGTGGAGAATCTTCTATAGAGCATGCAGATCAGCATGTGGTAGCCATAAACTTCATATTACTTGTTAGAAATTTGAAAATAAATATCTTGGCAAAATACTTCTTCAGCTTTCGTGGAGAGTAATGACCTACAGTCATTTAAATTACCCACTCAGCATTTGGAAATTGCTTTGCAATTACCATGTTTTCTTTACCCTGTTACGAAGTACGCAGAGCCTGATCTTATGAGTATATCAGTGACAGAATTCCCCTCGAGGTAGGTTCAGATTATCCAAAAGAGAGCTTGTGCAAACGTTGTCGCCGTGTTCTGCTTTGTCAGCAAACCATAGAACGGCGAGTAATGTTTCTGGGCTCTCAAAAATAGAGCTTTTTAGGCCTAATTTGTCGATTTAATGCACTATATAAGCCAAAATTTAAATGGCAAAGTAGCTCTTGTGTGTGTTAAATAAAATGTATCTCTTAAAGATGTGGTCTTTATTCTTCAATTAAGCAGTACTAATCTCTTCCAGGTACAGTAAGGATCCAGTTTTGCTGCTGTCTTTGTATTTCCAGTCTTGTTTTTAATGGGGTTTTGATTTGTACAAATAGGACCAAATTAAGCCTGTGTGCACCGAGGCTGACATTAAGCATCTTGTGATCTTGAGACCGAAGAGGTTCCGTGTCCAGCGTGCATCCTGTGCGTCCTCAAGCTCTGTCGTGGAGAGAGAAGTGCGTTAAGCTCGCACCCCATCCTCTTTTATCTGTTCCGTCCCACTGCAGAGTAAGCTTTGTAGGGCAATGGTTGCATTTCTGCAGCCCGAAGCGACGGGGGGGCTCTCAGACTCTGGATAAAGGAAAGCGGAGGGAGGGAGTTAAGTGCCAGCTCTCACTTGGGGAACCAAACCAAACCCAGCTGTATTCACAGCGTTAACAGTAGCCATAAACTAATATTGTGACAGCCCAACGTGGAGAAATCGTCAGCCCAAATCATTAGGAGTTTCTGCGTGAACCTTCCAAGCTCCGTCTGGAACGGCTTAGTCCATGGAAAGAATTCCCTGCTAGCGAGAGGCGTCGCAGCTCCTCCGCTCGCCCAGAAAACCTTCCACATTCACGGACGCTGAGGCAAACGGGGGAATATAGTAACGGCGGGGTGGGGTTTGGGCTAGGGGGGTAAGCAGGCGGCCACTGGTCCGTAAGGGGATGTCCTTGCGAGCCTTTTTTTACAGAGGGCCCTTAAATTAGGGGGCTGGGAAGCGGTGCCGTACCCTAACGCTCAGCTCGGCAAGGCTTGTTTCGACTGTGAGGTTGTTCTATAAATTGCAGTTAGTCATTACATTTAAAATAGTAATGACTGCTTGAAATTACTCTGGTGTTTTTTTAAAAGAAAACAGAAGTACTCTGGTATTTTTGCTGTGCCCGAGGTAAGCGCAGCGTTACCACCTGCCGTTCTGCCAGTTTTGTTTTCACCCATTTCAGAGAAAACACACGAGATCCATTCACGTTGCCCGAGCGCTGCTGTAGCGCTCTTTCGCAGGAGAGGTTGATGGCGGCGAGCTAAACTCTTCTCATCTTGAAACTGTTCGCAGGTGAAGATGTGCTTTTTGTCAGGCGCTGACTCCTTCCGTGCTTCTGGGAGAAGCCAGCCCCTCTGTAAGGCAGCCTTCTGGCCACGCCGTAGCGTACGGTGTGAAGCCATCGACAGCCGCAGCCTTCGCTGACAGCGTTTCTGGAGCAGGTACTTTCAGCACAGTGGCAGGAGGCAATAGCTCGCGTTACCTGATGTTAATACTCAAAACACGTTGTAGCAGGGATCACAAAATTCTTCCCAGGAGGCGATAGTTGGCAATCGATTGAAAATTCAGGACATCGGCCAGAACTTGTATTTCAAGTGACGTGTGTTTAGCTCAGAGGGGGAGCGAGCGGGATTTTTTTTTCCCTGTGTCCCCTTTCTGTTAATTGTGCGTAATGGACTGTTTGGAAAACTTTTCATGGTTATCCAAGGGCTGGAGCCCCTCTGCTCTGAGGCCAGGCTGGGAGAGTTGGGGGTGTTCAGCCTGGAGAAGAGAAGGCTGCGGGCAGAGCTGAGTGCGGCCGGTCAGGGCTTCAAGGGGGCCCAGAGGAAAGGGGGGGACAAGCTTTTTAGTAGGGCCAGCTGGGACAGGACAAGGGGGGATGGCTTTAAACTAAACCAGGGTAGGTTTAGACTGGATGTAAGGAAGAAATTCTTTGCCGTGAGGGTGGTGAAACCGTGGCAGGGGTTGCCCCGAGAGGGGGTGGAGGCCCCATCCCTGGGACCATTCCAGGCCAGGTTGGACGGGGCTGTGAGCAACCTGATGTGGTTCAAGGTGTCCCTGCTCCTGCAGGGGGGTTGGGCTGGGTGACCTCTGGGGGTCCCTTCCAACCCAAAACATTCTAGGATTCACATTTCTCCGTCTGGTAGCAAGTTGCACATCGACATCCGTGTGACCTGTGTGTAACGCCGAGTACCGTACAGCAAACCTCCAAACCAAGAAACAGTTACGTAGGGCATCGATACTGGCTTTTATGGGCAACAAATGAATTACCCGCATCATGACTAAAGATGCGGAGCTAAATTTGTGTAAAATTCTGAGGAGTTTGTGCTAGGTTGGTACCCAGGGATGGATGAGTTAGCCGCAGTTCGAGGGATTCATTTGTACAATCGTGAGTATGGTACAGGTTGAAGTCGTAAAGCTTGGTGTTTGCTGTGCTGCTGACGTGAACTGCGCGTTTTGGGAGCGTTTGCCCAGCCTGTCCCTGCTTGTTTGGGTCCAGCGTGTCCCTCGTTACGAGTAGGGTCGTATCCTTCCATTTGTCTTCAGCCAATGCTGTCGGTTATTTTAGGTTTGTAGTGAATACCTTCAGAAATTCTGTGAGTGGGAAGAAGTCAGGAACCGGGAGCCGCCGCAGAGAGACCCCGTTTCGCTATGGAAGGGAACCAGCAGGCGAATCCGGTGCGCGTAGTCGGCCAGGAACGGTTTGAACGGTGGCCAAAGCTGCGGACAGCGGTATTGCCATGCCGACGTGTGCTACGATGGGTTAGGCACTTCCCTTCCCAGCTGGGAAATCAACTTCCACTGCCACGAAGCATTCAGCTTCCTAATTAAAGATGGGGAAGTTGGGGGAGGGGGGGAATAAAATAATCAGAATTTGAAGTCGGCCCTTCTGCACCTTCACAACTGACAAAGGGGAAACAAAGCGCCGAGCGGCTGCCTGCCGGGTTGCTGCTCCACGCGAGCCAGTCCTAGGAGCTGGGACTAACCCTAAGCCTTGGCTTGGGCCTGGGATGTCTTCGCTGCTGAACAAAAGCGGAGAGGCGTCCCTGTGCGCTGGCCGCGGGCTTTTAATGCCTCGTGGATGGGTGACCTTCCTGCTCCTCTTTGCGTTCAGCCAGGCTCTAGCAGCAGGGTCAGAATCTGCCCCATCTGTTTTTTAATGTATACCAACATTTTTAAATGTATACCAACATTTTTAAATGTATACCAACATTTTGGGTTGTTTTCTGGGCTTTTGAAGGAAATGTATTGATTTTTCAGCATCGAGATTAAGTGAACGGCATTTTTCTTAGGAAGGGATTGCTATCTTTTCACAGCCTTAGGCTTTCAGTAAGTTCTTCGAACACAGTTTGGTCGTGGTGGTTACAGGCGGACGGCGTAACCAAGCTATGAACAGGCGTCCCGCTCCTTCCTCAGCCGCGCCCCTCCCAGTTTGGTTTGCAGATCCCTGGCAATGGTTTCGTTGCCTTGCTTCTGAGGGGGTGCTGGTACCGGGCAGTTGGGGTGGGAAATGGGAGGGACGGGACACGGGCGCTCCAGGGAGGACGTGGGCTGTGTCCTGGGGTGCGGGAGTTTGGGGTGTAACTGGGGGGTGCGGGAGTTTGGGGTCTTAGCAGGGGTGTGGGGATTAGGGTGTTATGGGGGTGCAGGAGTTGAGTGAGGGTGTTACTGGGGGGTGCGGGAGTTTGGGGTGTTGTGGGGGTGCAGGAGTTGAGTTAGGGTGTTACTGGGGGGTGCGGGAGTTTGGGGTGTTGTGGGGGTGCAGGAGTTGAGTGAGGGTGTTACTGGGGGGTGCGGGAGTTTGGGGGGTTGTGGGGGAGCGGGTGTTGTGGTGGGGTGTT